GATCCTTGCGGTTGAGGTCCAGGGATGCACACTGCGATCGGATCCTTGCGGTTGAGGTCCAGGGGTGCACACTGCGAGGGGATCCTTGCGGTTGAGGTCCTTGCGAAGGAGGAAGGAGGAGGACGAGGAGGCGGAGGCGGAGGCGGAGGCGGAGGAAGAACAGCTGTGATAAAATCTAACAACCCTCACCTGGCAGGTGGGGAAAAACATGGTTTTGACTGACTGGATCCACTCTGTCACTTTGACGGAAAACCATCCACATTGCAATGGTCATCTCGACAGTCAATATGGTCGGCAAGAATGATGAAGCGCAGGCAAGACCAAGCCGCCGGGTCTGACTTAGTCTGGGGTAGAAGTCCTGTGCATCCTGAAGAGAGGCCAGAACCACCGCAGACATCGCCATGCACAATGAGTTTCCAGCCAGGCTGGAAACGATGAAGTAATCCCCCTATGCCCAAGAAACGCAGGTGATAAAGAATCACCAAAACCGAAGTGGCACTCACACACAACGATACCACAAACACATCATTTTGCTCCTTACTGTGGCGCCAGGCAACCCTGGCTGTGCAAGAGCAAATCCAGAAGTGCAAGCACGTGTGGGCCACCGCAATGAAGGAGGTAATTGGACAGCGATTCAGCGAAAGGCCGTGGAATTTGCAATTGAAGCTCGTGTAGTTGTCCCATATCCAACACTCGTAACAATTATCTTGCAGGTCGCTGCAAAAGCAGGATCTGTCGGGACATCCAAACATCTGTGGGCGGAGCGCCTGCGAATCTTTCTGGAAGAACTGGAAGCCAAAACGGGCGATGCACAATTAGCGTCGAGACAGCTGCAAAAGCACTGCCAATGACCCAAAGCAATTTGACTACGCGTCGTAACCTCATGCAAACATAATACTCTGGTTGCTCGGTCGTTCTCATGCGTAGGTACGCGGCAATTCTGGCGGCCTCTTCCAAAGTGGGTTCAACATCCTCCTTGTCATACTTTGCTGCGTCTCTACGCAAGATTGCCAATGGCGAGTTGTCAACCCCCCATCAGTACGATTCAACAAGCTGGATAAGGTGCTGAAACAAACATAGGCCACGGCTGTCTTTGTCAGCAAAGTTGGGATGACTTTTCAAGAGATCGTTCCCTTGCCTATAGGCCAAGGCTTCCACCATGTTTCCTTTCAACTGCGGACACAAGCGCTTCAGCACCTTCACTGCATTCTTCGCCCCAGGATATGTTGTTTCAAAATATTCGAACCACAATCTGTTCCTTTCCGCGGTGCTTTTGTTGTACCCTCCAAAGTGGGAAAGGTCACCAAATCAAAACTAAAGTGCCCATCAGCTGGAATAACTTCCCACTCCAACTGCAGCTTTTGGTCCTGGAGCTTTTTAGCCCTTCTGCCCACAGACACCTGTCGAAACCGTGCGTCCTCTGCCAGGTACTTGGCAAATTCCTTCCATTCCTGTGAGGTCACTGTAGCACCATGGATTGAAAGTGTGTAATCCCGGTCGCTCTGCCCACATCTCTTCCGGATGGCTGTGCCGAGGCGGGTGGAACCGATGAGCTCAAGGGTGTTTCCTTCGCCCCAAACTCCTGCTGCCACTTCTTGTATGGCCTTCTCCACTTCTTGAATTTGATGAGAGTCTACATCAGGCGTCAAGTCCACAGCCAGCCTGCGGAATCTTTCGCTAAACCCCCACGCATTCACCAAACGCTCGAGAAAGGCATCGTCGTACATCGGCGATTGGAGGGGTCCAGCTCAGGCCCATGGACCATGGAATTGTAGATAGCAAACTATATATACTGTAGCAACACTGTAATTCTGTCTCAAAACTTTGCTTTTTTCTGAGTGTTAGGGGTCATGTTGATGTTTTATGTTTGTCAATTTGTCTCATAATCTGGGAATATCTTAAGGTGCCCTACATGACTGTGCACAACACCTTAGCAGCATGGGGCAAAAATAGGCAATCTCAGATCATGGTTGCAGCCTATTGAAATGCGACCTTACCATTGTAAATCCTCCACAAAAAACACCCAACTTTTGCATGCATCACAAGCGCACAAATTCTCATGCTCCGAGAGTCAAAAAGACATGAATCTTTGATTCTGAAGTCCTTTGTCTCCAGGCTGTCAGTCGCAATTATGCTCCATCGAAATAGTGGATCTTCGAACCACACTTGGCCCAGGAGCCTATATATTAAGGTGTCTCATAGCTTACTTCTGCCAACGGATAGCGCATTGGTCACCCCGGTCGGACATACGTGACTGACGCCATTGACGCCAAGCTGCTGCTGGGGCTGGGTGTGCTGGCCACCTGGGCTGGCTCGATACAAAGGAACCGGGGGGGAAGCACTGTTTCCGCTGGAATGGGTGGCTGGATGCTACCACACAGCCCATTATGCATCCCATGCGATGGACCATGGGTGACCTTACGAAGAATACTGCCGCAGTCTGACTCGCCGCGTTCGCGGGGTCACAGCACGAGACAGTGTACCTTGTACGTGAGGCACCAAGCCTGTTCAAACCTTGTGATACACCCACCCTATGGTTGAAGGAAGAAATCCTAAACCAACTGTTTTTTTCTTATCATGGGGAGACCTCCCAGTTCTACCTCCAAGAAGGAACCCAGCCAGGGCCAGGGAGTCTCCCGATCAAAACACATACTGATACACACCCCACTGTTAAATCATTATATACTCCCAGAAACGACGAAAGCTTTGTTGGTTCCAAGTCTTGTGATCGAGGATGTCTTCTGTTTTTTTCTTGAGTCCAAAAGAGACTTCGAGTAGTAAAACATACACGGTTGCTGGGCTTCAGCTTGGAATTCAACCGACCAACAAAAGCAACAACAATCGTAAGAACACCTCGGACCTCGAAGGCATCAGTCATTGGCTTTGTTTTTGTACACCCATTCAGGTGGATGATGGTTCTCATTATAAGGAAGTGTCTGATTCCCTTTGATTCTTTCCAAAGAAAGGTGCTGATCAAACTTGGACTCTTCCTTCAGGTCAGATATTTAAACTGATTGACCAAATGTTCCTCACATCTCCCTTTCTTAGGACTCTTTTCTCCCTGCCTCGCGAGGAACTGCCGGTAGCGCCACTGGACCGCCGGCTGCTCCCGCCTCGGCCTCTGGCAGCCTTGGCCTCGGTGTGCGGTGTGGGAGAAACAGCGAAGCAACTTTGGAAAGGTATGAGTTCAATGTGCATCTGAGTTCAGTGGTAGACGTAGATGCTTTCTTGACAAGACCATGAAAGACCCTTTAGTCTGCTTGAGTCTATGAAGGATACACTGATTATGCAAATGTGCAGGAAGCAAAGGGTTCACGATCTGTGGGATGAAGATGCAAGTGTTCTCCACTTGGAAAGTCTCAACATGAGAGTGCGATCCTGCAACAGATTTTGACGATTCACTGGTAGCCACTTCTCTCGACATGTCTCAACGCCTTCCCTTTTCGGGTTGAATGATTGTCCCTCAGCATAGCCCAATGGATGTTCAACGATCCACCGCCAAGCCACCGACGGTGGCTTAGTTCGACTGTTCGACTCATCTTGCACCCAAGCGTCTTGGAGAGTTCGGCCTTTCCAATGGATTCCACCGGTGACGTGGGGCCCCCCTCCAGCGGCGAAGTCACTGGCCTCGTCATTCGTCAAACATTTGTCCCAAGTTGTGGAGGGCGACAAAAAACATTCCAAAGGATTGTTTGTATGTTAACACATGTAAAGACATACATTCCACGAGTTTATTTGTTGTGTCTCGGACATGCCCCAAAAAATAGAACACATATTACAGTATAAGAAAGACACCGTGTCCAAGGCAGTTTGTATCCGTTCGAAAGACTCGCACCGCATCCCAAATAGCCTGGCCTGAGCCCAGACGCCACGCTGGGCGTTCGACTCGACGCCTGCCGACGTGTTGCACCATTCGACACGAAATTACCCCCGCCGACATGGCGATCGCCTCCAACTTACTAGCAATGGCCTCCATCCTAGTAGCAATAATAGCGTTGACCTCCAACCTCCTAGCAATGGTATCCAACCTACTAGCAATGGCCTCCAACCTACTGCCTCCCACCTAATCCCAATGGCCTCCAACCTACTAGCAATGGCCAGCAACAGCCTCCAACCTACTAGCAATCACCTCCAACCTAGTAGCAATGGCCTCCAACCTACTAGCCATGGCCTCCAACCTACTAGCAGTGGCCTCCAACCTACTAGCAATGGCAATGGCCTGCAAGCTACTAGCCAAGGCCTCCAACGTAGTAGCAATGGCCTCCAACCTAGTAGCAATGGCCTGCAACCTAGTAGCAATGGCCTCCAACCTACTAGCCATGGGCCGAACCTACTAGCGATGGCCTCCAATATAGTAGCAATGGCCTCCAACCTACTAGCAACGGCTTCCAACCTAATAGCGATGGCCTCCAACCTAGTAGCAATGGCCTCCAACCTACTAGCAATGGCCTCCAACCTAGTAGCAATTGGCAATGGTCTCTAACCTACTAGCAATGGCCTCCAACCTACTAGCAACGGCCTCCAACCTACTAGCAACGCCCTCCAACCTAGTCAATGGCTTCCAACCTACTAGCAATGGCCTGAAACCTAGAAGCAATGGCCTGAAACCTAGTAGCGATGGCCTCCAACCCACTGGCCTCCAACCTAGTAGCAATGGCCTCCAACCTAGTAGCAATGGCCTCCAACCTACTAGCAATTGGCCTCCAACCTATAGTAGCAATGGCCTCCAACCTACTAGCAATGGCCTCCAACTTACTAGCAGTGGCCTCCAACCTACTAGCAGTGGCCTCCAACCTACTATCAATGCCCTCCAACCTAGTAGCGATGGCCTCCAACCTACTAGCTATGGCCTCCAACCTAATAGCGATGGCCTCCAACCTAATAGCAATGGCCTCCAACCTAGTAAAGCAATGATAGCGATGGCCTCCAACCTAGCAGCGATGGCCTCCAACCTAATAGAATGGCCTCCACTTGCAACAATTCGTTGGAGCATCTCAGTGTAGTTCAGCTCTAGAATGGCCCCAGCTGTATCCACACATCTCCGCACCTGATCAAACGAAATATGTTTCTCAAGAGTCTGTATATTTTTGATCTATGGTGTTTCTTCTCAAGGACTCAAGGACCCTAAGTAGCTCTTAGTCCCACCAGGCCGTTCCAAATGCCACCTGGGTCGGTTCCAGGCCGCTTTGACGGTGAGGCAGGATGTCTGACAGCTCAGTGCTGGCCTCGGTCGTTGGTCACACTGGGGAAACACACCCCTTTCGGCTGAGCAGTTTAGTTGACATGGCGACCACTTCCCTTCAAAAGGTCTCAGTTTCAATGTGTTTCACTTTCTGCTCCAGAAATCCTCCCAAGAACAGGAATGAAGCGAAGCTGAAGCTCCATTGAAGCTCAGGAGGAACGACACCAATTCCACCCCCAAACGCTTCACTGGCTTTCGGGTTTCACCCGTTTCACCCGCTGAACTTGATCCACTCCGAAGCGGCCGTTGCCGCCTCTTCTTCCGACCCAGCGGGCACACCGATTCTTCGAACAAACGCAGAAAGGCACGAGAAACTTCTGCAAAATGTCGACATCCACGATCATCCACGGATGTTACGGAGGTTTTTGCCAGAACATATATGTTTGTGCACAGCTCTTTCTACATCTTTTTACACCTCCCTATGGATTATGGATTCACATCCTTTGAGTCTTTGAGGCTGCTTGGAGACACTTTTGCAGGCTCTTTTCTCCAGCGAGGATGCCTTCAGCAAAGGGTTTGCGGTCTCTCCATTCACACCGAAAATTGCAGCAGCCAGGTTTCCAGGGCAGCTCACCATCAACTCAGATTGGATGGTTCCACGGTTTCACAATCCTGATGTTCATCCTGATCGTTGGACTTGAGTTGATTCGCTCAGAAAACATGTCGTTCCCCACTGGAAACTCATGTCTCAAACCCAACCAGCAACCTCTCACTGAGTGGGATCCTTGGAGATTGCCCAATGATGAAGGTTGACTCGCAAGAGAAGCACACATTCGGCTAGTTGCTGGCTACAACATCAATTCGATTTACATCCACCACACTGGATCCAAGAATCAGAACTTCTACTGTATTTTTTTTCTGGTTTACAGGGTCAAAGTATGTCATAGTCCTGAAAGTGACTACCAGTATAACATGAACAAGAATCCTCCCATAAAATGCCGTTCTCAACTCTGCTCGTTTGCAGCAATGAAAGGGTCAACCAGAATGGTCGATCTCCAGCGGCTCCACGCTATGAATTGAAACAGTAACTTAGAGGTGACCTGCATCAAGCCATGACAAACATGTGATGTGCCAACTGACGCAAACGATTCCCATCATTGAGTGCTTCTTGGCCTTGGAGCCGCCGCTAGCAGTGCCTACACTGCCTTCCACTATGATCTACACGGACTGCTTGAGATGTCCAGCTTGTCGACATCGTCCGAAGATGCACCCAGGTCATTTGGCCAATCGCATTAGCGCACGTGCCAAGATTACGCTCGGATGGAAGCGAATCGGAATTCAAAAGGCCGTTTTTGGAAGTCGTGGATGAACTCGCATGATCAACAATCACGTTGTGAAAGTACACACATCGGCTTGACAACACATTACTACTCAATATCAATTATACTTTATACATTTTATATTGCATGATATCTTCTCACATCTTGCTAACCACTACTAACCATTCTCATCCAAGAGAGCCGCCTCTCCGAATCATGCACAAGGGCACGAGGCACTCCTGTCAAAGTGGCGAGTCGTTGCTCAAAGCTGTCGAGCACTGGCTGCTCTTGACTGAAGTAGCAGTCAGTTCACGTCTACGTGGGTCCTTGAGTCCATTCCCAAAACAACAACGGCTCATGGAAGGCATGCCTCGGCCTAGCAGTTATTCGGCGTCTGACAGAAGGGGCACATTACCTCAGCGAACTGTCAAAGATCGGATGGAACCTGCAAGGGGTTCAGATTTTCGAACTTACTGGTTAGGCGTTAGGGAAAGTATCACCATACCAATCATGAGTGCCAACGAAGCCATCAAACTACCTCTGAAATCCGTAATCCTTACAGCAAAACATCAGCAAACCCAATCACAAATTCACCAGCCAAAACGCAGCCATGCCTGGAGCAAACTGAGCTTCGTGCGACCATGCCTTGCTGTGGAGCGCCAAAGACTTGCCTTCGCAACGCTCAAAATGGAATGTCTACCAACAAAAAACAAACTACTGTGGACATGGTGAATTCTTCGGATTTGGGATCATTTTGGTGGGTTGATGCATGCACTCATGAAACGAATTTGCTGCCAACATTCACGAAGCAATGTCTTCCTTGACTCACACTACAGAAACCTCAGAAACGTCCAGCAGTCCAGCACTTCCAAACCAGACTTTGCCTCTGCAATGGACCACTCAAATCCCACAGCCAGGCCTGCAGTTGCCACACACCACCTGCAGTTGCCACACTGCAAAGACTGCCATACCGCCCCAACCAGCTGGGGGTCTATTCTACGGTCATCCTTCGGGGGTGTTGGAGTTGCGAAGTCCACTTAGCAAACCCAGAATGAGGTGGCATGCCTCCACTGCTGAATGAGGTTGCATGTGCCAAGCTGCAAAACTCAAAACCGATGATTCACTTTGAAATATAGGATATGGACAGGATATGGACCGGAGGACAAAGTACAGTAACAATGGGGAAATATATATATATATATCTTACTTGACATCATGTTGTCCTGATCTTTTCTGTACATGGAGCGGAAAGCACTGTACATCACCCGACCGTCAAGGCCACCCCGAGTGGCGGTGAATCAACAGACAGGCCCAGCATAGCTCCAGGCACTGTGCTCAGCGCAGCTTCAAGCGGGACGGCAGCAGGTCCATTCAGGAGCCAACTGCCCGGCAAGGCTGTGACATGTGGAAGATTCGGAGCTATCGCCTGTGCGGCGACGTGTCGCCCAAGGGCAAAGCATTGCCCATCCAAAGATTCGACGCAACGAGCTGCGTAGAACACACTGTTTGCAGGAGGTGCTTTGGGTGCAGGTACCTTCAAGGCCAGAGCATTCAACAAGGTGTCGACTAGGGGGAGCCAAGCTTCCATGGCACTTTGCTTCCAGGCATTGCCCACCAGGTCCTCCTTTGGAACCACGCCCAAGAGTCCTTGGTGAAATAGTTGAGGACAAGTTGCCCATAAATCGCCCAAGAAACAAGAACATGTGTCGTAAGAAAGTACAAGTCCGTTTCAAGTCGGAAAAGGAGTAGAAAAAAAACCGAAACACCCAACGGAAAGCCACAGTATGTGAGACTACTCGATTCCTCATCCAAGTCTCTCAATCTTTCCATACCTGTTTCACTCGGAGCCTCAAGAACGCCATAGATCTCCCTCAGCGGCTGCAGCACCAACTTGCAAAAGCCCCTGGTAGCTCCGTTGGCCCGGTCGCTCCAGCGGCGGCCATCGTGGAAGTGTTCGCCCCACAAACGTGGTCTCAACTTGGACACCTCGCGATGCAGACGCATCACGCGATGGGATGGGATGGGTCAGACATGGTCAGACCAAGAATGCGATGGGATGAGTCTATGAGGACATGTGTAAAATAGGGATTTGTATGGATTTGTTGCTGACGACAATACTTTTCTGCTTTAACCACCCAAGACATCTCAAAACCAAGAAGACCCTGTTGTGAAGGGCCCGTGGTCTGCATAACTGTTTGGGGAGAGTTTGAATGGATAAAACACCCTGTATATCTTCGTGAGAATGTTCAGACCCCCTTCCTTGAGAGTTTGAGGAACATGCAACACCATCCGAATATTTTGCAATATTTTGCAGGTGATCAAGTTGATCAAGGTGTTACCATTCCATCAAGGCATCTCTCGACCATGAAGGGCAGGTCAGACTGGATCTTCCAAGGGTCTTCAGAGTCTGACCATCAAGTCTTTGATCATGGAAAATACATCCGAAACACATGGAAACTACATCCGAAAGTGTCACGACTAGCTTCTGTTTTGCGTGCACGGTGTGAATTCCTCGCACCCCCACCCGGATCCACGGATCCCCCCGCGCACGGATCAGCGCGAGCGTGCGCCCGGTCCTGTTCCTCCGTCCAGCCCTTGTGATTGGCCTGGACCGTGAGAAGATCCTCCAGGCGGAAGCCCCAACCACCGATGGACTCCGCCACACTGAGGGAGCCACGTCCGAAGAGGACGTTCCCCTCGTCCACGTGGAGCGAACGCTTGGAGTTCGGAGCTTGGACTTCAGAGGTGGCGAGGAGGTCATTCAAACGGTCAATGATGAGAGACAACTTTTGGTAGCAAAGCTCATTGTTGGGCTCGAGCGACAAGAGCTTATCAAGCTTGTTGAGGAAAAGCACCGGCTGAATGTTATGTGCCATGGCGGCTTGAAACACCTGACAGAAGTCCTCAGTGAGACCTTCTGCACAATCCACAACTATCAAGGCCCCATCAACGATAGGGAAGCAGTCATTGATTTGTTGAACGTCACTGAAATGTGGCGCCACCAACTGTACAAGAATTGGATCTTCAGCTGCATAGCACAAGGGCAGTGAGAGCCATTCACTCTGGTGTCTCTCCTTGGTGTTGGGCACAAGCTTGGATTGCTTGCTTGTGTGGCCTTTGCACAGCCGGTGTCTCGAGACGTATCCAAGGAGGCTGTCCTGGCCATGATCCGTGGGTGCGAGCACCAGGACGTGCCGCATGCGGCCGCGGTGCGCCAAAGCGGGCGCCAGATCCCACAGCGGTTCCTCACGCTTGGGCTTGGGTCGATGATATCGGGCGATGCCGTGGCGATTGGTCGGGCAGAACTTCACCCGGTCAGGAACCTGGAGAAGTTTGGAGTCCAAGGCCTCATTCCACACGGCGCGTAAGGGCGAGAAGCACGTGTCGTCAAAGACCACCCATGCTTCATCTCTTGCGACAGCCTTGGCATTCCGAAGGTCCGCGCGGGCCGCGTGAGGATCATGATCTCCATCGATGTGAAGCAAGTCTGCACGTGAATTCCGGTGGTTTTGCGCCCAGCGAGGCAAGGTTTGTTGGGACCGGCCAGGAACCAGTTGGATACGCCCTGGAAATGCGGTTACTAAGATCTGAAAGCATGGCTCTGTGTAGGAGTGCTCACATAGATCGAAGGCAATGATCCGCACTTTGGGGTGAGCAAACAGCATCAAAAGGCTGGAATGACCAGCATTGAAGCCAATCTCAATGATTGTACTATCTTCCAGAGGCAAGGAAGCTGCTAAACTAAAGAGGTTGCGTTGCTTGGCCAGGTTTTTGGGATTTGGTTCCCTACTTTGATGCATGTATAAAATATTCCCTTCCATGGGCTCCTTCGACAGCTCCACTGCAGCATCGAGTGCTGCAATCTGAGGTGACATCATCTCAAGCGCTGCGGCGAGGTCCGCTTCACTAACCAAGCAGAATGCCATGGCAAAACCCGGCGGCCACGCCCCTTCCAACACGTCGGCTTGGAGCTAAAAGCTGAGCCGGTCTAGCCACCCCTTGCTAGAAGCGCTTCAGAGGCGGTGGTGTTTCAAAGTTGAATGGACTGAGCTTGCGACGCAAAATCTTTTCTACATAAACAATAATCCTTCAAAAAATAAAGACTGTTCTAACCCCGCCTGCACCGGTGGGCCTCCTCCTCCCATGCCGGGCCTCGAGAGTACTTAGTTGTCGCGGAGTTTGGATTTGATTAGATGTGATAGTGTCATTCACTCTGTTACCTGTGAAATCCAGCCAGCAATGCCAGCAATCCTATTCGCACTGGCAGGCAACTGAGCAGACTGGCAAACTACTGGGCCCACTGTCAAGGGTATCCGATCGCTTCAATGATTCAACAAAGGGCCGCGAAGAGAAGAGAAAAAAGCCAAAAGAAAACAAAAAGCCAACGAGGCCGAAGAGACACCAATTTTGACCTACAAATCCAAACCAACAAGCATACCAGGTGTCCCACCTCAGCTTGCACCATCCATCACCTTGCCATATTTCAGTGCACCACTCTTTGCTGGCCTTCGCTTTTTAGTACTTTTGAGCACCCCCCCACTGCACTAGTTCCTCCTGGTTCTGCACTCCTCCCACTGGATCCTGCAACTGTTCCATTCAATCCTGCAAAACGAACAACAACATCTATTGTGATATATTGTTGCAAGATGTTGCAAGAATGCCAGTTTGACACCATGCTGATTTCAATTCACAGATATTATATACATATATATATAACTATAACTCACTCCAAGGAGAAAAGTCTGCAGCATGTCGCAGACTCTTCAGCATGTTAGCAGTGCTTTAGAAAAGTCAGCTGCTCGAAGAGACCTCAGGAAGAACTGCCCGAACACATCTGATCAGCCACAAGGTCCCGTGCTGGTGCATCGGCATCTGCCTGAGCCGGATCTCACTCGTGCATCTCAGCCGCATCCAAAGCATCGAGGGCCCAGAATTGCCGTTGAACATGGCCAGCATGGCCTACCAAACCTCTCCTCCACCTCCAAAACATATGCAAACTTTACATAGACGTTCATTCGAACTGGACTGTGCCAGGGATGCCACTGCGGAGCCCCAATCATGGAGGGATGGGCTGCAGCACCATGCATGCCCACCTGCGAACCAGTTTCATTTCCACACACTCTTCCAATCTCCGGTGAGAAGAGGCCACTTGTATCCACTTACTCTATTCATGGCTGGTACAACATTGAGAAGGCGTGTCAATCGCATTGTTCTTTCTATATAACATGTATTCTATTATATAGTTTTGTAAAAATTGTGATGGGTAAATGAAGTCTAGCAACAAACTACTTTTCAGCAAAATGCTTGACATGCTGACTCAACATTGTAGTTAGTCGAGGCTAGGCTGCTTGAGATTGACAAACATCCATCCTGTTTGCCTACTTGGCATTTCAACCCATGTGCATTGTTCTGGCATCATGGGGTTGATCGAATCACGTTCAAACAAGTTGACCGAAACACACCGCTTAAGGCAACATCCGGAATCCATTGGCAGGCTCATTACTCAGCATGAGAGGAAGGTCGTCAAGTTGGCAAAGTCTCCAGCCTTCCCATATGGCTGTGGGTCAAAACCCTGGTTGACCCCTAAAAATGAACCAATTCCTCTATCCTTTGTGGTCCAAAGTGTCCGTGGCAAGCATATGACGCCCATTTGCGCGAGAGGTGGAGTTAATTCCTCCATCGCCTTTTTGATGCAAAAATGGATGTCAGCCTTTTCACCCACATCCATATCTTGCCATAGCAAAATGATGCAAAATGACATACGGTTCCATTGCAGTCCCCCAACAAAGCCCCCTTAACACCTTAGGTCCGGCTCGGCTCGCCTTTTGCATCATCTCTTGCTGAGACGGTGGCAGGTGCTGCATGATCATGGGCGGCATGCCTCAAACGTCGTGCTTGTTTGGCGGAGGTTGCTGCCCTTTTTCGAAATCGTCTCCGCCCATCCAGCACAACCGTACTTCAGCCATTGAAGGCTTGGATGCATCCTGTGCAAACGACCTATGCATCACAGCAAAAGATTGCAAAAGCTGGTCATGGTTGATTATGGTAAAACAAATCTATACAGACTGGTTTCTTGCACGTCTTGCAACTCATCCTGCATGTCAAATTCAGCAATGGCATGCCACCTAACAGTGCCACCCACATTCTCAACAAACCTGTGGGTTTGTTTTGTGCGACCACCAAGCATCACCCAGCCAAACATTGTAACGACATTGACACGCATATATTATCAAAAACAGGTCGGTCAACGGCCGCCATATTTTCATTTAGAATATTCACACATATTCCGCGATGCATTCTCCGCCCACCAATGCAGCCCAAGAATAGGGGATGCATTCTCCGCCCATCTGGAGCTTCCCTACCGTGCCAGCCATGTTTCTTGACCTCATTGATCTCAATCTGCTGCTGCGCATGCATGCAGCCCTGCACTGACATCACAAGACCTGAGCGATGGAGTAGGACATGCCGCTTTTTCCGCCGGCGTTGAGGCGCTTTCTTTTCGCGCGAAAACGGCGCGTGGGAAAAAAGTGGGCGATCCAATGGGCCTGTCAGTGATCGGCCTGAAACGACTGATCCAGGGCCTTTTGATGGCCCAAACATGATGGGATATCATGATGGGAACATCCCAATGTGACAATCTGCATGGGCTTGTTGAGCACAATGGCGGGCAATCCCACAACAAATATATTTGTCTGCTGTCTACCATCAAGGTTCCCATTGGTGCCCACTGGTACATCCCCACATCCGGTCCGACGTGATGTGGTACAACATGGTACAACTTGAAGGGCCCCACGAGAAGGCATCAAACAAGAAAGTGTTGTGTTGTTGTTTTTTTCATTTGTCCTTTCTTAAACCCCTTGTGTTGCGTTAACACAGTTCGCACTCCCCCATGCAAAGGACCCTAGACATCCCTAGACCTGACAGCAGAGGTCATGTATGGCGCCTAGTACCTATCAGGTACTATGACATCCGACGTATGACTAGAGTGAACAGCAAAGACTCGGAACATGCTCAATGGATATCGTGTCCTGTTCCACAGAAACGACCGGGCCACCGCGACGTAGTCCCTGATCTCTCTGAGAACAAAGAAATACTAACTATATACCTAAGGCTACTAGTACGGATGCTCCCCTTGTCTACGAGACCGGTTGCGGATCCAGCACGGGTCGAAGGTCCGAACTCTGGGCTCATTCTGGTTCCTTGTTTGAATCGACTACGCGCCACCCACGGGACCTCCGGTGACCCAGGTAGGTCCTTCGGTCGCCAACGGAACGTCAACGATCCACGACCGATCGACGGAACGATCACGGAACGTCAAGCGGCAGTCGGCTAAGAAGTCCAACTCGTGGGGAACGTCCACGCAGCACCTGGCGAACGTGCCGACCGTTGGAAACCGCTGATTCGGGTGCAGTCACCCAGATTGGAACCTGAACATGTGTGACTCAAAGGAAGCAGTTCCACAGGCTTTAGGACTTCGTATGCCTCAAACTGCATCCATGCAGGGAGAATGGAAAGGGCAAGGTGTGGTTGGTTCTTGGAATCAAGAACAAACCCCGCAGAAACAATTTCCAACCACGCGGCAACCCATAGCGGCCTTGCGATGTCCAGAACACACACCTTCAGAATCAAGATTTGCCAAACTGTGCAGTAGTGGCACCAAACAAGCGTATTGGTGCAAACCCCCCGGTGCGCAAAGCCACACAAAGAAACATGATGTCTGATAGATTCAGAAAATATGTGCATAGTACTGCATACATGCCACTGTGGGGGCCGCATTCGACCACAGGCCGGTTTTCCAAGAGGCACGAATGATGCCCCAAGGTGTTCACAAAAAGCAAGAACGCCTGCAATACCTGGACCACCACAGTAAAACCAAATACATACAAAGTACCATGGAGGTGTCATGTTGATTCATTTTGTTCAGCAAAAGTCTGTGATGTTGTTCGGACATACTGCATGATTTGTTCTCCCCCCGTGAGTGCTCCCTGGGCTCCCATGTGTCCGACTTGGCTGCCCCCCGGTGGGGCGGGATCAGAAGTGGATGTAGCAGAGGAAGCAAAGACTTCAGCCCAAATTCTGTGAGGCTTTGCTGCAAAGGCGTTGTTTCCATTTGTGAGGTTTTGGGTGTCCAATTCACCACAATTCTTCACCATTTAGAAACAAAAAGCATCTGTAGTAGCATCTGTATATAAGAATATTTGGGTGCCATTTTACTGCCTCAAACCCAAGTTCTCCACAAGCGTGAAGTTCTACCATTCCTCCCTGCAGATTTCATGGCTTATTCCTCCGGATGCTTCGCATGCCAACCTGGTACATGACTTTCTGCATGTGCTATGAGGCTCTTGCACTTTAGTGGATTGAGGCGGCACTACATGTACCGCTCTCTCCCTTGGCACTACATGAGCACTTTCTCAAGTCCTGAAATATGGTCTCTGTCCCCCTCCCCAAACAGGGATCGTGCATCTGGCGTCTGGCTGAGAACACTTCTCAGGTGCGAAGCAAAGTCCCACACTGGTACTGCTTGAGGCCAAGGCAAAGAGGCAAGTGGCAGTGATGATGCAGTCATCGCAGGGTGTGTTTTCCTCCAAGTGGGTGATGTTCAACACGAAAGCTGTAATTATTCGAATTCTACCTGAACGTTTCATTCACAGATTAGAATGCGTGAAAGGCACTACTAGTAGAGCCCCCAACAAGGCTGCACATGGCTGCACAAGGCTATGAGATGCTTGGCCTAACAGAATCAGAGTCTCCTTGTCAAACCGAGTCTGCACCATAAACCTTGGCTCGAGTTGCGCTTGTCAAACCGAGATCGCGGAGCAAGAGATCTGTTCAGGACTTGGCCGCTGGACCCGTGTAGAGCTTTCGTGGCAACGGCCAGGTGGCCAGGGTGATTGATCTCGCGAAAGTGTCCACTAAAGTCTATATTGGGATAGCTGAGAGCCATGTCAATGGCATTTTGATTGGAGAAGCTAGACAGCTTGAAGCGAACTACTCCAAGCCTACGCCTGCCTTTCTAGGTTCCCTTCCCCACTTCCATCGTCCAGCCTGATCCGGTCAGCGTCCGCCTTTGTCCTCCGTTTGGCTTCCCTTCGGTCCCCGGACCTATTCGCACTCAAGGCGAGGCCAGGGCAGCAGCACACTTCCAAGAATAAACACGCCCGATCCTCGCCAGCGACAGCCCCAGCTTCTGTCACTTAGCATAACCACGTGGATTGGATTCATGGCCTCCGTCCATTGAACTCCAGTGTTCTACAGAAGATGGTATGAAGATGGTATATAATTGCTCTATTACAAAGTTAATTATATACTTAAGGCTAAGACTCATTCATCCATCTGACGAAGTTCCATGGGAGTGTTCCAAACAAACATCGATCGCCTCATGACACACCTGCAAAACAAAGAAACAGAACACTCCGTTACATTCACCACGTGGCAGGCCGCACCCGAAGCGGGACGGGAGGCGCCGCAGCGCCTCTTTTCGTCTCCATCCGTGCTGTCCCGAAGAAGTGGCTGTCCGGATGAAGATCGCTCGCGCGGTTTCGGAAGAATCTGCCATTGGTAGACTGGAAGCAGGTATTAAGTTATACCGTACCTGACTTGAGGCCAAGGGGGGGGGGCGAAAGCTAGCGCTCCAGAATGGGAAAGTGGAGGGCAGCGAGGTAGGAAAAAACACGGCGCTCTTTTTGGAGGCAGGGGTGAAGAGTCCTTTATATGTGGCTCTTTGCCCGGATCCTCCTGCGAGAGAAGAGAGAGAAGAGAGACGGAAAGACGAGAGACAGAGAGGAGAGAGAGAGAGAGGAGAGAGAGATGAGAGAGATGAGAAAGAGATGAGAGAGATGAGAAAGAGATGAGAGAGATGAGAGAGATGAGAGAGATGAGAGAGATGAGAGAGATGAGAGAGAGAGAGAGACAGTGAGACAGTGAGACAGTGAGACAGTGAGACAGTGAGAGTGAGCGAGTGCGGCCGCAAGATACGCAACGCTAACCGCATGCCAAAGAGCGACGACAGGACGGAGTCGAACTTGCGAAGAGGGAGGAGGGGAGGAGGGAGGGAGGGAGGGAAGGTGGGAGGAAGACAAGGAGGAGGAGAGGGGAGGTGGGGTGGGGAGAGGGGAGAGGGGAGAGGGGAGGAGGGGGGGGGGGCTTCGACCTGAAAAATCAGGGGTTAGGATTTGCACCCGGTCGAAAGAAACCTTGCTATCGCAAGAGTAACTCCAGCTAGCTTCGCTAGCTTTCGTGAAAACTCTTTTGATCTCTTTTGTACTTGTGGGGGTCATCTGGCATACTGGTTCTTTGGCAGCTTCCCTGTCTATCAACTGTCCAATTACAACACTCTTCAAATGGACATTACAGCAAGTAGATTGATCAATTCTCGGCAAGGTCACCTTTGTACTGTACACATTTGCTTCCTCAGTTGTGTCCCCTACTTGAGTTTTATGAGGTCCATCTGTGCCAACCAGCCAAGATTCTTCCAACCATTGGCTCAATTTAAATGAGCCAAAGGCCTGTACACGTGAGCACGCCCGCAAGCCACAAGCTACAATTTAACTGTATACGGCTGTATACGTCAATGTTGACCAAGTCACGGAAGCCTACGCTACCTACGCCACTACATATTGCTTTGAACACATTTGGACACCAAACTTGCATGGCACTTGCGAGGTTCATCGTTAACATGCACCTGTCACTGTCCCCAAATGCGCCTATGAGAGTGTAAACTCTAAGGTCCCACACTGACTTCGCACAACCCATGACCCATGTATATAGTTTATCAATGCAGCGAGCAAAACACAAGGAACACCCAGAACCTCAGGCTCAGCGGGTGTGAAGTTGCAGCAGTTGCGCAAAAAGCACCTGCAGATCTGAGTAGAGTGAACACAAGACTTTCTCCGGATCTGCAACAGAAGGAGTAAAGGCTGTTGGTGTCTGTATGTGACCGACAATGTTTCCTTGGGCAAACAATTAGGGAGCTTACTTCGGAATGGATGTTATGTTATGCTACTGTACTTTATATATTTTTGCTGAAACTTGCAAGAAGAGTACCTTTTTCCTCAGCACTCCGGGTGTCCAATTGTCAAAGTCATTTCAATTGTCCACCCCTCGGTCTCGGTGACTCTCCTAGTCATAGTCCTAGTCTTGGTAATTAGTAGTCATCGTCGTAGATGTCGTCGTAGTAATCATAGTCATGATCGTCGTAGTCGTCGTAGCAGTCATCGTCGTAACCCACCCGACTGGATGCACCTGCCAGGCCACCAAAAACTTTTGCTTTGATGAAATCAGGCCGCCACCAAACGCGGTTTGAAAAGGTCACGCAAAAGTTCCACACATCTTGCGCATAAGTGTGACAGTTGAAGTCTCTGACGCAGTATCTCTCAGCGTGGCTTGTGTGGTCAACGAACTTCACAAGATCTGCTGCCGTGGTGGGAGAAGTCCAAATCCATCCTTGTTTTTTCAGATCTTGTCCAGTCATTGGACCTCGAAACACTTCGCCATTCACTGTACCAGGAGTGAAGTCGACCTGTACCTGGTTGCAGTTGAGACCCTTTTGAGTCTGCCAAATGCTACCATCGGAGAGGCCAATCTCAAGGACGGAATGGCAACCAAAAGGCAACCAATGGCTTGAAGTTGAAGAACTATGTTTCAAAGAACGTATCTTCCAAGTGATGCTCACCACTGTGGCATCAGGATCCATGCCAGCTGCATCTTTCGCAGGGATGATGCTGGACAGAAGAGAGTACATCAAACTTCAACAATTTCACTGGAAGTACCTGGAAGCCAACTGCTGCGGAAGCTTGGAGACCTCACAGATTCTGACAAATTCATAACGATTCATAACATGTCATCATAGCATGCACGAAATGATCACAATGCACAAGTGCTCCGATTGCTTCTTCAGGGAGAGCTTCCTTCCACATCCTTCTCTTTGAATGCTCCTTCCAGTTGAAATTGATTAGAAAACACCCACAAGCAGCATCCCCATGCAAGTAGCACCTGAAGCCGGCACGCCCTAGTAGCGCCCCCTTCAGCCCTTCAGCTTCCCATCCTGTCCGAAACTACACGGTGGGTCGCGGGAATAGAAAAATCTAACTCCTGGCAGTGGCAAAGCAAACAATTTGCTTTGGGTCTGTGAGTTAGGCTGCTTGATGATGTTGATGCCCGAAGTGTTGTTGCGTGTTCTTTTGGGAATGGGCCGGGCAAACGTCGCACCACACGAAGGTCTTTGGGTCTTTGTCGTTGTGTGTCTCTTGTTCATCACAACGACATAGGGGTCAGCCATGCCTGGTCAGCGTCACACCAGAATTTCTGTGACTGTGGCATTCTTTGTGCCATAAAACTCCTGCAGAAAGGACAGCACTGAATCACTTCGACATGGCAGGTCATCTTCAAAGTGCTCTCAAATCAAGATTGAGGAAGATGGTTGCAAATCCCAAACCCTACATGTATTGGAGTCTCCCCATTTACCTATATGCAGTTCAAAGCATGACATGAAACAACGTTCAACAGCTTGTCGGAAGATGCCACTACTATACTCACTATCTCTCTCCATAGACAAGGGGAGTTCATAAGCTGTTCTCAAGTTCCCAGTACTGTTCTCAAGTTGACTCAAGTTCTGTTCTTTTACTTCTTCGTTCCCCACAATACGTCCCCCTTCATCCCGACTCGTCTGACTCGTCTTCCGAATCGGAGGCATGGCTCATGGCGCCCTGGCGGTCCTTCAAAGAATCGACATAGATCCACTCCATGGCCCTGGCGGGCGACAAGAGCTTGCAGTAATGGTAGCCCACCGTCTCGATGAAGGGCCTCGGTGGGCTAGGGTTCACCAGAGGTACTACCAGCTCGGTCGAGCTCGGTGTGAGTCACTGTCGAGCCTCGGTAGGCCTCGGTCTTTGAGGGATTCCCAGGGTGGTTTTTGTTAGGGGGGAGTCTTCGAAGAACGGGCGAAACAAACGAGCCAAAATGGCCTGTTTTGAGATGCATCAGGCTTTCATAGGCTTTCCTCACCGTAAGGTTTCGATGTGAACTGGCGAGGGGAACGACGTTTGAGTGTTCAAAGGAGAAGATTGCACACCTAAGGACTAAAACAAACTTTGGAAGGAAGAAAGTAAAGTGAACAAATGCCTCCAACTCACAACTGGCCCCCAAGTACCTGGCTGTCTAACTGGCTCTGTCCAACCATCTGAGCATGAAAGATCCTGACCTCACAGACATGGTTGTTGCCTCTAGTTGACTCCTTGAAAGAACTGTGATCCCACAAACATCCACAAACCATATATATATATTATCTTAAAATATGATTTCGCTCTTCTGTCACTGCCCAGTACACCGTATGCCGCATCTCTTCCTTGGCAACCGAGTGGCACATCCCCGAGCTTCCTGGGAACGGTTTTCGCGGGTGGCGTGGGGAAGAGCCTCAAAAGGCCCTGGACATGTGGGTCAAAGTGGAAAGCAATGAAAACACCCCTTTTGCACTATAAGACTATAAAGAAAACAACACACACAAATCATCACAAATCCCATTCACAACAAAAAGCTCCAGACTCTGGGGATATGCCGCTCCACTCCCTCGGTCCCGCCGGTGTATACGCTCTTCCAGTGTGACGGCTCAGGTGTCGATCCAATTTCACCCGAGAAAGCCGCAGGAAGCCGAGCGGCTGAGAGACGCTCCGAACGTGTTCCGAAAACTGGAAAGCACATCCAACGTGCTCCGTGCTTTCTCTTGCTTCGAAAGAGGCTGAAGTCGCAATTGTCTCAGAATTATGGAACCCATTTGAACCCTAGATTCTGCAAGAAGTGCTGCTTCTCAAAAAGGATCAACAATTGAGGGTTGCTCCCAACAAATTATGTATCGCAAAACCATGCAAAAACGATGGAAGGGGCAAATACTCTAGCATCATCACAAAGACTTGCTTCACATTTGGGCGTGTTTGAACAGTTATTTCAAGTTGATTACTGTCAAAACAAGTCCTGAGGATGTGGTGTTTTTTTTCAGAATTGATCCATCCACTGCCAGCTTGCAGAACCCATTTCTTCAGCTTTCTTGAACCCATTCCAGGGCTCTTGTTGGGCGTCGGGAAGTAGTGCGACTGCACAGTGACCATCTTCTTGTCCTGGGGAAAAGTTGCTACAGTGAAGCATTCTGTCGATAGGGACATTCTGTGAGTCTAAAGGATGCTACAGTTTTCTAAAGGCACACAACGTCTGTGACTAAACAGCACAACAGTCCTGTTGGAACAAATCCCAAGCTTCACACACGGTCGGGGGAGGAAATCCCTGGGGACATCTGGGGAGCAAGGTCCTCTGGACGACCGTGATGGTGCGAATCAACCTCTTCTCATTTCTTCTCTTCCAAAAGCTTGATATGGAGGAATTCTTGCACCTGACTCATCCACATCTATCCCACGCGTCACCCCTCAGAAAACATCAAATAAAACCTCGCCAGCCCCTCCCCCCGCAGAAAAGCTCCGCTCCGCCACACTCCGCTCCGCCGATTCCGCTGCTTCCGCTCCTCGCTGACGGTGAAGCTTAAGGCGTCATGGATCCAGGTGGGACCCATCAAGCCGAAGCCCGACTTCAGATCCTCCATGCGAGCAACTCTTCGGATCGAATGGCTAAGACGGCTTTGGATGGGATAGCACGCGGTTTTGAGAAGGATGAGAAAGACTTGGCTTGGTAGGATTGCTGTAAAACCTGATAAGGTGTTGCAGTATGTTGCACTGCTATATATTATGTGTCTAACTTATAGTAATAATAGCCACACATAGCAATAAATAACAATATACAAACACAGAGGATTAGACATGATATAGCATTTGGAAACACAGAAACGCAACAAAGTCGTGGGTTGTTTTCTCAGCCAAGCGTGTACTGTACTACATTTGCATTTATCCTGAGCAAAAGAATGGAAACAAATTGACTTCAATATGATCAAACGATGTTCGTACTCTCACGACCCTCAAAGCTGTCCGATTGCACCACGGAATCATGTCAAAAAACAACAGGATTATTCCTTGGTCTCTGGTGGTCTCAGGTTCACAAATTCAATATCCATCATATTTTCTTGTGTCGCCTTTTGCCCACTGTCCGGGGAAAGCTTCCTGGCCTCCGCGAAGGACAGCAATTGGCCATGCTGCTGGAAACGCGCACGCACCTGCTTTCAGAGATTTTCAGAGGGTCTTTCAAATGAAAAGACCTGGATGAAGGAAGTTGAGCACTTCAAACGTTAGGACCGTTAGGAGTTCGTCTGAGTTGTGGCACGGCCGAAAAGCGTGAAGGGGGTAAGATTCAAAGGCAAGCTGAGGAATGCAGCATCTGTCATCGCCATGCAAAGCCTTGCCTTTGGAGAAGCCTTTTGCAAGGCCCACTCGTAGGCTGCTCTGTTAATCGACTGACAAATGCGCGGATTTGATCCATCCTCAGATTCATAATGATTGGGCTGCTCTTGGATGATCAAGAGCAAATTCTTGTTTCTGGAATAAACGCTCGAACATGAGATGGACTTGTCGGATGAAAGTCTGACTTCGCTGCCTAGTCAGATCGAGATGTTTCAGTCTGCGCTCGATGTTTTGCATCACCAGACTACACTGGGGCGGAAATTCCCAGTCACGGTCTAGACCTCGCGCGTTTCATTGGTAAGAGGTTCTGTATTGTGTTGCCAGTCCTGAACCTCCCAAAACCCAAGGCTCTGTCTCCGTAAAGTTCACATCTTGCATTCCAGCCGCCTGACAGGAGTGTCGCCGGTCCGGAGACAGTGGATGGTGCGGACGGAGAAGCACCAAACCACCGCCGGTCTGACACTTGAAGCAACAAAATACAAGGTTTGAAGCATAGAAACCAAGGGTGAACGGTGAAAGGGAGCATGGAGAAGACATGAGAAGACCCATTGGTTGGGGTGTCTCTCCCTTTTTAGACACAGCAGTGGGTCAAAAATCAGGTGCCAAAGGAAGAAGGACTACAACCTGTGGAACAACACCAATTACATGCACTCCGAAGCTCTGATGCTCAGAATTCAACTTTGTAAGAATAAGTGCAACCTGTGGAACAAGCTGTGACAACACCTGATCTGTTGATCCGTTGGTCATCATTGGTCCATACAAACCCGCGACAAACCCGCGAAGCCCACGCCGAGTTCCTCTCGCCTCTTGCATGGCCTGCCGAGACTTGAACTTGCTCCGAAGCTCACTGGCTGTGATGGGCCACAGGCCGACGTCTAACGCGTCCTGAGGAAATTACTGGCTGAGGCGCTGCTTTTGGATTTATGAGGCTAGAACACCACACGTGCAAAGCTGCATGCATAGGGATACAATTGTATATTAATTAGACAGCTATTATTATTGTGACACGGTGCATGCGGCCTTCAAGTCATAGACCGGCATGGTCACTGTGGTCGCGTTGATCGTGCACCCCTCCTGAAACGAGTTCAAGGCCAGTGAGAGGTTCCCCCCGTGGTCGTCAACTGGTGCATACTGGTGGTCCAACCGAACACTGCCCACTTGCAAATAAAACAAAGCATTGAGGCGTCCACAAACCATGATGTGAGGACGCCTTCTAGAAAAACATGATCCTGCAAAATGGTCTCCTTCAACAACCATGGTCTGCGCATGAAGGTCTTTTGGGTCCCGGAAGTCCCAAGGCCGACCTTCACTTCAGGAAACGGCGGGCCAAGCATCGGGCTTCGTGCAGGCAGTCCCAGGCGTCGGATGAAAAATATGTGGCAAGTGGAAAGGCCGCACGTCTGAGACATCGTGAAAGGCATCCTGGACGCATCTGAAAAGCAATGGGCAAAGAACAAACCCTGCTTTTGGAAAAACAAAGCATGTCGTTCATGATCTGAGGCGGTCCCATATCATAATTACAGCAAGACCTTCAAAGGCCCTTTGGAGAGTGGCTTCATTGCTGGTTTCGCTTCCAATGACTAGTGCCCGGGTTTCTCACTCCAAAATTCTTATTTTGACTGTTTCCAGGCCTTCAGTGTGAGAGTGACGTCATTACTCAAGCCAGCCACCATAGCGGCAGCACCCTCCACCCATTGGCTTCCACAGGTGCAATCGGGTGGTGGCAATGGCCGAGGTGGCCCAGCCGGCGGCAAGAGTGATTTGTCTGGATACCTGAGTGAGTGGCCACTAAGACTGAGTCGCTGGCTGCGAGGAAGGTTGCCTTCTGTGGTATTGATTCGGCGGAAGGATGCGGAAGGTACGTATGCGGATTGGCTATGAGTTTGGTATAAACCTATTACATAGTGATTTGATAGTGATTTGCTTGTTGTACCGACTGTTACAGGCCTATATAAACCCAAGCCGAGACGTGATGTCATGAGTCATTTGAGATGTGGAAATCCCTGGCGAACGAGACTGGGTCGCTCAATCTTGCTTTGCCAACGGTAGGGCAGCAATTAAGACCTGGCAACACCGTGGTCCATGCCATGAGGTGTCCTGATTTGCTGCATGGAGACTATTGGAGTGTGCATGAGTGTGCTATAACATGACAGAAAAAGGGACACAAACATCATATCAATTTGTCTAATAATTAGGATCTAATAGGTAGGTCATGAACATTGAAGGGATCCTGTCTTTGACCGGTTTGCTGGCAGATCTCTTCATGGTCTCATCAGTCTCATCATGGTCTCACTTTTTTTGAGAAAAACGGAAAAACGGTGCAGCCCAATGACTTGGGATATTGGCATGTGGGATTCGTCGGGTAGTCGCTGTTGCAAGGAGGCTGCAAGTGGCGATAGCCCTCCATCTTCAAGGCCTGAAGAAACGCCACACGGACCGGTCCACCGGGACGGGCTCAAGCTCGCGGCGGCTCGTCTCGGTCAGGTTGGGTCACCGGGTCATTGGAGTTGACTCCACTGGCCCAGCATGGATTTCATACCAATCCCGAAGAGCCATTGTTTTCCTAAGAATGTTGCAGTACAAAAACCAGGTGAACCTTTCTCTGAATGGTCGAACGGAAAGCTAGTTCCTTGGTACGAGTAGCGTTGGATGAAAAGTCGATGCAATCATGTGTGTGTGGGCGGGGAGCTTCGAGTCTTGTTTGATCCTTTTTGCATGTCAGCTGCTGAATAGTGCTGGTGCGGACCTACAAGTCTGGTGTAGTCTACCATCTAAGTCCAAGATGTCGAGAGATGAGGCCTGCCTACCATGTCCAGTCACCAAATAGCCCATTCACATTCTGTCTGTGGTTCCCGTCTTCCTGCCTCCAGGAGTGGTTGAAGGAGTTCTCCCGTCCTCTGGACTGCTTGCACCATTCGACTCTTGCCGCTCACAGATCCACCCAGTGTGGCGGCCAAGTAGTCTGACACCACCTTCACACAGTGGTTTCAACTGTGCAGCTAGGCACTTTTTAGCATGGGAATGCCTCCCTGAACCCTGGGAATTGGGATGACTAATTGAAACAGGATGCATGGTGGTGTCCAAAACTGTTGTGTACCAACTCAATGGACATTATAGATAGGCTGCAGGCGCACTCTTTTCGGGATGAGATTGTGGAAAAAGAATTTATGCTCATCACAACAGTACATTGGAGGCACCCAAGTGGCCTGAGTGCTTGATCTCCTTTGCTGATATGCGGACAGTTCATCAACATCAACAAATTCCCAAATTTTAATATTGCTGTACTTATTTCTGTATATTGCACCATATGGTAATTGCTATGAATGAATCATGAATCTAACCTATCCATCTACTTTATCCTGAACCTCTGGTCCCACATGGTCCTGCACTTGGAAACTGCTATGCAGCTATGCATCAGTACCAGCCTGCACATAACAAAATCCAGGTTCCTATAAATGGTTGGCTGTTTTAAATAAAGCTCCTTCCGTTTTAGATCAACTCACAACGTTTTGTCCTCATTTCACTGGTACCCGAGTTGAGCGTTTCTCACGTGGTCAGCGTTTCTCCGGGCGTGATGCCGGTCCCCAACCTCTCCGATGAGCTGGTGCCCTTCGACCGTCGACACCTCCGCGCGCAAGTCGTGCGAAGCCACGTTCGAGGGCAACGGGCCACCTGCCGCGCCCGGACGGATGCGGCGCGATGCGACGCGAACGGAATCGGACGGAGGGAAGAGGTCAGGGAAGAGGTCAGGGTGGTCAAGGTAGGTTGTAGATTCCGTGCATGGAGGCTGGGAATTTCTGGCTGAATGGACCAAAGTCTGTGATTTTGGTTGTCGGAACCTCTTGGCGATGGTTATGAGAGTTTGAGTAGTTGTTGGGAGCCCTGTCACCAAGCGAAAGAACCAGGAAGGCCGACCCAATCCGTAACAATCCTCGTGAACATCAATGATCAAGAGATGTTTGACAATAGTTTTATGATTCTAGAGAAACAAATAGAAACAGTAACAGGTTCATGGCTACAGGATACTACAGGTTTATGGCCACGGAGCCATCACTGAGGTTCGCAAAAAGTTGGCTCTGTCCAAGCAATGCACTAGGATTAGTGGGGGCCTTTAGCCAAAGATTCCAAAGACCAGAAGTCACAAGATGACTAATGCACCAGTCATGTGGAAAAACGAAGGCCCTCCCATGGCCCGAGACTGACTGCTCTGCAGTCGCTTCAAAACGAGTCACTGCTGAAGCTCCAATGATTGAGCCCCTCCAGAATCACCACCGGACGGTCCAAGGTCTCCTGCGGCAGGATCACTCTTCTGGCTTTGGACGGTCCAATACACTGGAGACAAAGCACAAAAAAATATGCAAGAGGAAAATAGGCCTTGGTTGTTATTAACTTACGTCCAGACATGACACAAGCCACGACACAGTCATACACAGTCCAGTTTTGGAGCACAAAGGCACAGTCCGGCCTTGCAGTGATCCCAAAGCTTGCAGTTCTTCGGCACACAAGTACCGTGACTTCAGGAGCTGTGGCCCCAAATGGGATTCGTCTTTTGAGCCATGTCACTGGTCCATCGTCCGTCTCTCCTGGGCTCCGGCTCGTTCCACTTGATGGAAGTAGGCTTCCGCTTGGCGCGACACCCGTAGGAGGCCGTCCAAGTCGCCATCCAGGGTCAAGGTGGGCGGCAAACCTTCGAAGCAAGTCTTCACCACCGTTCGGCAAACATTGGAAGGAAGAGGATGGAAGGAACATGGACCGAATGGAAGGCAAAAGAACGACCTTGTCATCCTGTAATATCCGGAATTCCATGTAATGTTTGTTGGCAAACAAACCAAACCAAGGTTGTTTCTGGTGGAATATGTTGGCCGCAGCTCTGTGATCCTTACGATGTTCTCCAACTAAATGTCCTAGCAGCACATTCCAATGTCTGATCAAGGCGCTTGAGTTCCGATAGCGCCGAAGTATTGTGCTGCCAGTCAGGATCAAAGCATCAAACTTGCCATGTCCGGAACCAGTAAGGTAGAGCTGGCAGCCAACTGCTCCCAGACTGTGCCCCATCAGTACAAATCGATCGGCTTTCATTCCAGCCTCCAGCGGAAAAAGTCAACACCAAGCACGGCAAGTCCCAACGTATCCTTTGACTCTTTGGCATTCTACAGGAGCTTGGATTTGCTGTCCAGGAGCTGGGGGAAAAAAGAAGCAGTTCAAGATGCCAGGAAATAGAAATCAGAGTTCACTCAGCGTGGTGACTGCACATATGCGCAACGTGCGAGTGAACTTTTGGATGGGAAAGTTTCAGATCTGTTCAATGAACACAAGGTCAGGTGTCACACATCTCACAAAATTGACCTTTGTGTTTCTCTTGAATGATCCAATCTTGGACTTACAGTAAAAACTGAAGAAAAAAGACCGACGCCTCTGTCATGCGCTTCAGCATGTCGTCCACCTTCTGGGCGAATTGGATCTCTGCGATGTCCAACAAATGCTGAGGTGCTCCAGCCCATATTCGATCCTCTGAAGCCTTCTGTAAGGCTTCCAAAACCTCACCACGAATTGCCACAATTTGGGCCCGCACGAGCACGACCAAGGTGGACTCTGTCGTAGTTGAGCACTGTAGTATTTGTGTGGTTGCTAAAATTACTGCAAATCAGGTCTTGTTTGCTTTTGGAGTCGTTTTCTGGAGATGTGGCTCCTGGGTCTTTTGGGCTCATGGCTTTGGGATGGATGGTGTGAGGACAAACAGAATGAATGGCTTCCAGCGCATCCCAAGCAACGGGTTTGTAGCCCAAGACCGGCGATTTCGCCCCTTGGATGAGAATGAGAGCGATGTCACGGCCTTTGGTGCCGTTCCGCGGCGGCAAGAAGAAGCTATCCTTGGAAATGCCATACACGGCAACCAAGGATTTGCTAGTGAAGGTGCGAGTACAAAATGGTACACAAAAAGCTATCTTAGCACATCTTAGCACAGGATGTGAGGTTGCTACTACTGCTTTGTTATCTACACGATGACAAGTAATTATGGAACAAACTTGTCCGTCAGAAGCTCTGGGATGTTTCCGTTTTTGGCTTGGTTTGGGCGTCATAACCTTCGACAAGAAGCAAACAACACAACAAGTCAGTACTGTGATCTGCATTCAATCCCAGTCTCATCTGCAGCACTGCAAATGAACAGTAGGAAGGCCAAAAGGCCACAGCGACCCATTAGCGCAAAGGACATCTTATGGAAATGCAGGAAGCTTTTTACAGAACATTGTTCTTGGTAGTTTTTGGCATTAAGTGGTATCGGTATATATATATTATATTATATTATATTATATTATATTATATTATATTGATTATATATATGGTGGTTGATCAATATTCTTTCATCCTGGAATGGCCATTCTTCGCGGAAAAAAAGATATCTTTCGCGGATCTTTCGCGGCCTCATCGCGAAGCATGGTCCTACAACCATGTCCAGCTAACATGAGCCGGAACATGTCATAGTATCACAAAATAGGGACAGACATCTTGCAGCATGACCACAGTAGAAGGTTGAACGTTTCCACAGCTACTCAGGGTCACTTGCAGCATCTGTGGCACAACTCAACCCAATCCTCGTGCCAGCTACCAACACAGGGTGATGCAGCTTGGGGAATGTTGGGGGGCCTCAAGCTGGGAACCTGGACTTTAGCGGCACATTCGCGAAACTTTCGCGGATCTTTCGCGAAATTTCACTGGTGCTTTCCCGGGGAAGCCGTATGCAAACATCTGCACAGCCAGTCAGAGCAGCTGCAGGTCGTTGCCTCACTGTCAGGGCTGCGCCTACTCAGGTTGCTTGTCTATGATAGTGGGGACAGGAATCGGAGAATCCTTTACGCACTGTCAGGGCTGGGCACGGAAATATTGAGGCTTCAATCTGTGACATGGGAACACTTCCGCCCACCGGCTCTGCCGGAAGATTGCCTTGTATTTCTATTCTTTGTCAGTAAGGAAAACGTATGAAAGCGATGACCGTCGATAAATCTTTCGCGGAAAAAAAAGATACTTTCGCGAACCTCATCGCGAATCTTTCGCGGATGGTTCTAACAACATCTGAAAGGCTGTTTTATATAAAACTCCTTACACGGGGTTTTCGATCAACTCCCATATATATATTCATGTATATAGGTAAATCATTCAAATCATAGAGCTAATCTAAGAGCCACGTTGCTGCAAAAGAATGCAAATGGTGGTTTTTGACGCACAAAATGAGGAATGCGGACATGAACAATATCGCAATATCTCGACCTTCACCGTTGGCCACACCGGGCAGGGCAAGTGCCGGAACCACCCGAGTGCGCGCGCTTCTTGCTCTCCTGTGGTTCTCCCAGCGGGCCACATGGGCAAAGACCGGCACAGCACACATACGGCTCGCCCGTCAGGTCCTCAATGGCGTCGGGCGTCGTTTCGGTCGGAGACCGTTCAAAACAGGGATTCTGACCATCTGTCCACCCTGCGAAAGGCTGCTAGCGGCCTTCGACGGTGCTTCTGGGGCATGGTCCGATCCAAACTCGAGGGGACCGAGAAATTGGAGCTGCCAATCCGAAAGGGATCGAAAGTGGGGTTTGCTTCCTCTGAAGGGAATGACTCCTATTAATAGTGACTCCTAACATGCTAAAGATAGGTCTGACATGGCCGGATCTACACGGCGCCCAGACTGAGGCATCGAGCCAAAAGTTCCGTTCTCTGCTGGTAGGAGGCACCTGGCATGCCAGGAGCGCAGACATGGCGCCAAACAAGAGACAAACCAACGTGGCCCACTCGCAAAGAGCGTGCTGAGTGGCAGGAGTAGACAGAAATTCCTGTTCGACATTGTTTGACCACTCCCCACTACTCAAACAAGCATTCTTCCTTCCATATTACTGTATGACACACTTCGAGAAAGCAATGGTTCCAGGGTCGTGTGACTGCAGTATTCCATTGAGCAAAATTGGGTCAGCTGTTTTATGCATGTGGAAGGGGATGATTATGCCGTACAAGTTACACTCCGAGAAAACTAACATAACATGGAAGTGGAAACCACCCTGTTTGTAGAGGAAAATCGTCTCCCCAAAGGCCATGTTGTCTGGGATTAAATGGGCTGTTGTCCATTTCCATGATAGTGTGTCGGAGGGCACCCCGACTGACTCCCAACATCCAGTTCTCATGCGCTGCCAAAGGCACAGCAGATGCAACAGCAACCTCAGACCGTTCTGTCACGCCGCTCACGCCGCACGGATCTGCACCCCCAGACTCTGTGCTGCGCAATTCTAGCGGAGCTGGACTTGCGCTGTAAGACCTGAGGTCTCCACCATAAAGGAATGACCCAGGGGCCTGGAAGAGACCACGTTTTGGCGGTTCGTGTTGCATGGAAGGAGGAGGTTCTGGAGCTCCATATTTTTAGATGTAGCATCAGGCAGCATGTTGTTTCAGAAAGGCAGCTGCACCAGCTGGCATGAAGGCAGCTGATGAGTTCATCGAACAAAGAAAGAACACACATTGTTTCCGTTGAGGAAAAGAAGTCGATCATTCCCACCCACATCGAGGACCCAATGAGGTCGTCTCAATGTTAATATGTGTGCTAATATGTTTGCAGTCTATATAGACCCCCCAAATAGATAGAAAAGTAGAGTAACTGTTTCTATCTATTTGGGGACCACTTTATGGGGCATGCTGTCACAACAGAGTCTTTACTGAACCCGCAAACCCGCCTCACAAGGAGCCTGAAACATCTCTGTCTTCCAGTGTCCGGTGCATGCTTGAACCAACTCCTCCAGCGTTTTTACGTGGCGAGCAACTTTTACGAAATTGCTCCATGGACAGAATGAAGATGAATGAAGTATCACATTGTTCCGTATCCTTACGATATCTCGCGATCCTTGGGATCTAGTTCCGTTCTTACCAGGAAAAAAACAAAAACAACGTCTGTCACAGCCTAGGTCCGCTTGTTGCCAGCTACAGTTTCCTCTAGATTCCGCTAGGATCTGGATCAGTCCTGCTTCACGGGCATGGCTGCAATACCACCACCTGCATCGAACTTGTGACGGCGTGGCGTGACTGGTCGCTGGGATACACTGGCATGGCGAGGGTTCCCAAAGACGCCCTGTGGGAGGCTCTTCCTATTTTGACGCCATACTTGTGGAAGATCTCATGCACACATCCGCCGGCGAAAGTGCCAAAGATGTGCCGCTCGTCAGCTGCAGGTCCTCAGCTCCGTGAGCTGATCAGCCCTTCCTCTTCGATGGCCAAAAAGATCAACGGAAAGAATTCGAAGGAGTGGGCAGCCTTCGGTCCTTCTGAGGAAGCCCTGGGGTACTCCTGCAGTTTCCCGATCTCGCCTGGTCCCGCCTTCCGTCCCAGCTGGCCTCTTGAAGCTGAGGTTGCCTTCTTCCCTACTATGCTTAAGCCAAAAAAGGAGTTGCATCAGAGCATGCCAAGAGATCTGGGCGCGCCAAGAGATCTGTCAATGCTTCGCAACCGGATCTCCCAGTAATTGGACATGCACAATCAGGGAGAGCTCCGATTTCGACAAGTAACAAGAAGCTACTAGGGGCTCCTGGCATCGCTACTAGGAGCAAGGACGCTACTAGGGGCTCCTGGCTGTACTACTAGTAACAAGAACGCTACTAGGGGCTGCAATCAGGTTCTTGTTACGAAGGAACCTCCGTCTCATCCGCCAGGCATCCACACACGCAGGGGGCTCTCGTTCTCGGTGGCCCCGGCCTGGCGCAGCCACACGGACTCGATCGTGGAGCTGTTGCAAAGCCAGAGGGGTTGAGCAGAAGGGGTTGAAACATGGAAAGTTCCACTGGCGGCTGGTCTCTTGGTCTCCGGAACAAATGGTATATAGAGCCGATCCCACAAGTGAGCAGATTCAACACATCCTGTCTGAACGATACTAGGAATCTTCACACCCGCTGATCTTCACGCCAGCTGCTACTTGGATGAGAAAATTCGTCGTCAACCCAAACGATCAAATACAGCTGGTGATGCAAGGCTGGAGCCCGTTGCAGTGCAGGGACTTGGCACCAGCCTTAGTGGCTCAGCTCCTCTCCTTTGGGCTCAAGTGACTGTCCACATGACCAGCTCAATCTGAAAGGGATTCGCTGTTGACCCCCGTTCTGCTCTCTGCCACTGCCAGTTGTTCCACTCTGGCTAGCCACTGTTATCCCAGCTGCATACTCACAAAACTAATCTCAGCACATCGTTCTACTTACACATAAGTCATTAATGTAGAAAATTGATCATCATACGGGGGTTTTATTGTTGATAATATAGCCACACTGGCACAGCCCAGCGGAACGACACCCATCCCAAAATAATTACTGAGTCCACTGCAGTCGCGCTGAGGCCAAATTCGAGCCTCACATAGAGTGGTTAAGTTGTGTCAAATCCAAAACAATTCACTTCTTGACTCAGCTATGCCAAGGCATGAGAGTGCCTTTGATCGCCTTACACATATAATTAGATCCCTCCCAGCCTGCAGCTGGTCGCTCGGGCTCATGAACTCCTGGCTAACACAAGGGAGGTGACATGGATGAGTGGGGCCACATCAAGTATTGAATCAGCACCCGCTTTAACTAAGCGTTCAAACAGACTGATCACATCGCCACGAAGCAGATTAAACTGTCCTATAAATCCCACAGGCGTGTTGAACTAGTGGAGACATCATGCTGCTTGGTCTGGGCATGAAATGGACCTCTCACGTACGGACCTTCCCGTCTGCACCGGCCTTCGGTTGATGGCTGAGCGCCTGACATTTAAGCAAATCCATGAACTGTGATATCTACATCAAATCATTGGACATGAATGCCTACCTATCAACACTGTAGAGACAACAATAAGAAGCAGTGTCTGACTCTAGAGTCAATCTATTTGCAAGCCTCTGCATCTGTCGCTCTCTGCACTGAGGTCAATATGGTCTACATCAACTGAGAGGTCAACCCAATAGCAATGGCCTCCAACCCAAGAGCGATGGCCTCCAACCTAGCAATGGCCTTCAACCCATGAGCAATACGTCTTCCTACTCTTACTCTGGTATTTCCGTATTGCCTTCTGCCCATGCAGTGTCGCGCCTTCTGCCCTGAAGTCCAATGGCCCTGCACACGGTTGGAAGGCATTAGCGACGAGTGGTTGAAAGTGCACCATAGAGCCATAATGCAGCTTAACAGTTAGATCCCCAAAGGAAAGACAGTTCAAAATGCGATGATTGTAAGGGACATAACATAACAATCATAACATATGGCAATATCGTTAGCAAAAACAATAGCAAAAAGATGCAAAAAGGAATTGTGCAAAATACTACTCACCCTGCAGCCGCAGCAGAGCCTTCAAGCCTTAAAGCAGTCATGCTTGAGTTGATGATAGCAAGGCCCTACAAATTTGGATCTCCCTAATCCTCCAACCTACTAACGATGGCCTCCAACCTAAGAGCGATGACTTCCAACCTAAGAGCGATGGCTTCCAACCTAAGAGCGATGGCCTCCTGTATGGATTGAGGACCCAATCACTGCAGTAGTGGAGTATGTATTTCTCCAGGCCAGTCAGTGCTTTAGAGACAAAAAGAAACCAGCAAGAGGAGTTGCACGGTTTGTGCTTTGGTTTCTGCTCTTATTTTTTTTGTTGCTGACATGTTATTGCAAGTGTTCCGTTTTGCCTTCCAAGGCAAAATGCAGAACAATGCAACAAGTCACACATACCGAGACCTAAAGCATGACATGAATTTCTTAACTATTAACTGACGGAGTTAGTTGTAATTATGTAATATTATGTATAGTTTTGCCGTTGCACCCCGTGGATGGGATTGTTTTGGCTACCCGGATCCAAAACTTGAACGGCTCCAGTCTCTCCAAGTCTCCCCAAACGCGCGACTGTCTCGCTGACCTGGTGAAGCAACATCTTCCGAGTCTCCTGAGTAAGCAAAATGCAGAAAGCATTGCATATCATTGCTTCAGACCTTAAGGTATGTTTTGTAGATGTCCACAGGAGGTATGAGGTATCATACCTCTGGTTTATGAAGGTGCGAGGTCGCCTCTGATTGGAGGTACGTTCTGTGACAGGTCCTGTAAGGTCATGCCTTCAACCAGAGAATTCAGAGATTTGAGTGGCAAGGAGCCTTTACTTGGGCGAACAAGCGAAGCCTATGTCATCTCCCGACCCGCCGGTTGAAATCCATCGCATGCAGAACATCATACCCCTTGAGTAATCTTTAGGTTTGTGTCCACCAGAGGTGGTTTTATTCTACAAACTTAGAAACTTGAAAATAATCACAAAAAGTGCAAACCAAGAAAGCACAAACAAAACCAAGTGCAAAACCAAGTGCAAGAAAAATACACACACATTTAAAACTACTACTAAACTACCAGCACTACTACTCCTGCTGCTGCTGCTGCTTACTACTACTTACTACCCGCACCACTAGTCACTAGCAAGGGCGTCTACAGACTAACCCCAGATTCGGAATTCAACGCGGTCAACCATTTTGCGAGGGGCTGGGTAGGGTCGAGTGTTTCACTTTTGGTCGCTGTCTTTTCTGGTGCCGAGTTTCTGGTGCACTGTTTGTTTTTTTGCTGAATGCAGAAACCTCAGAGACCATGTTGATGTCAGCTGCCACAAAGTTTTTTTGGAGGGTGTACAGTTACCCAGTCGCTCACAGCTACAGTAGCAGCAGCAATAACTTTGTTTGAGAGGACCTAGGAAGGAAACACACCGTGCGAAGCCCATTGATTTAATCCTTAGAATCACACGGACCCCAATTCCTGCCCCAGTTCCCTTTACATATTGAAAATCGATTGGGGTTGCATTAGAGGTTTAGCAACGAGTCCGGTCAATTGAGGGGCCACCTGTCAGGCGTTGATGAACGCCCCCAGACCCACGAGGTAGGGTTTCATCTCAAGTATGGTCAGTAGTGTGTGTTTTAGGAACCCCTTCTTACAGTTGACATTGTGTCCACCAGGGGTGGCTTTATTCTAGAAACTTTAAAAAAAAACTATAAAGCATGCAAAAAAAGCACCAAAAGTGCAAACCAAGAAATCCCAAGCAAAGCTAAGTGCAAGAAAAGTACTAATTAACTACTACTAAGCTACCACCACTACTACTCCTGCTGCTGCTGGTGCTGCTGCTACTTACTACTACTTACTACCCGCACCACTAGTCACTAGCAAGGGCCTCTACAGACTAACCCCAGATTCGGAACTCAACGCGTTCAATCATTTTGCGAGGGGGCCGGGTAGGGTTAGTACTAGGTATAAGCCCAGCAGACTGGTTTTCTGGTGCCGGGTCAAGTGTCTCACTGTTGGTCGCTATTTCTGGTGCCGAGTTTCTGGCGCACTGTTGGTGGCTTTTTTTGCTCTTTGTGCAACGAACACAAAAGAGCGAAAGCAAATGCGAAAAATGAACGACCAAAAGTGCGCCAGAAAGTGCCCCCACCAGTGCGCCAGAAATGCGCCAGAAAGCCCGGCTGAGTGCAGAAACCTCAGGGACCATGTATGTAGGTGTCAGCCACCCGGAGCTTTTTTGGAGGGATGTACAGTTAGTCACCCAGTCGCTCACAGCTACAGTAGCAGTAATTAGCAGTAATTTTGTCTGGGAGGACATCCTTCGTGGAACAGGTGCCAAGGAAGTACAGGACCTAGGAAGGAAGCACAAGGTGCGAAACCCATTGAGTTTAATCCTTAAAATCAAATCAGCTCCGTGCTCCGTGCTTTCGTACAGCAGCACGCTGTTTGTTGCAAAGGTATTTTCTTGCTTGTTACAAACATGCTGTGTTGTTCCATGTTTGCTTGCAATTCTGTTTGCTCCTTTTTTATTGTATGATTGCTTTTGCTTTTCTGGCTGCATGTTATGATTGTTTTTTTCTTGTTTGTTGTTGTTTTTTCAAGATGAACAACTTCTAGCAGAAACAACTTTTGGTAATTATTTGGGAACCTCCCAAAGTCCAGCCGGGAAGTCCCACCGGTGCCGCAAGGGAATTTCGAGTGACAGTCGCTCCTGGCTCCTCAAAACCCCCAAAAAGACCAACCGACCGACCTCTTTCACCATCCGCCCGAGCGTCGAAAGGCCACGGCGCTCTTGACGGGTCTGGCGATGGACGGTGGAGGGCGTTGGAGGGCGGCAAAGAGAGACAAAGATAGAGGGAGAGAGCCAGTGGTTGGGAACTGTATACCTGGATCTTCCAAGTATGCAAAATGTCCGCCGCCGTTTGGCTGGTTTTATAGATGAAAGGCAAATATGTTGCACAGTTGGAACATCTAGGTACAACATGGTATAAACATGTATAAACCCAAAGGGGATGAAACATATGTTTCCTCATCCTCTGCAAAAGAAGGGATACGGATACGTGTTGTTCATGAACATTTATCTTCATGTGTTCTTCATGTTGCGTTGGTTCGTCGCAGAAGTGGCCCGTAGATTACTGCTATGACTATGACTCTGACTGAGTTGCAAGTTCTGCGCAGGTAAGCTCGGAAGCAACAATCCCTTCCAGCCGCAGCTCCTTTTGCCCTTGCATTCTATGCGGTTCACCAATGATGACCACTCAACTTTGCTCCTGTGTACAAAAAGTCTTGCAGTGCGTGTGAAATATATCGGCATATTTCTCAAGCTCCGCGGTTCAACATACTACAAGTATGGGATCCCATGTTGGTATGTGTGTGATATTGTTCCTCAATCCAACAGGCATCTCTAGAGCAAACTATATACCTCCGTCCTGGCACGTTGCCCCGCCAGAAGCAACAGCTCTTCTGAGAGCTCAAAACCATCCTGGGCCGAGGAGTCTCAGCTCATGGTCTAGGACAAGTGCAGAACCAAACAAGTCTGCAGGTTCGCTGGGTATGTTGCATTATTTGTCTTTTCCTTTGCTTCCGCTTTTACCTTCCGTTCCGTTCTTTCTTTTTTCTGTTTTGTCCATGTCATTTCTTATTTCCTTCCTGTCATTGTCTTTCCGTTTTCCTCTGTTCTTGCCATTCTTTCTTTCTTTCGTTCGGTCGGTCGGTCTTTCTTTCTTTTCTTCCCCTCTCTCTCTCTCTCTCTCCCCCTCTCTCTGCCCTCTAAAGCCGATGCCCAAGCTTTGCTGCAAGCAGGTCACAGAGTTCGAACGTTGGGCAATCAAGAGTCCCAAATCCCAACAGTAGGGCACCAGTGCAAGAGGCACCTGAAGCCCTTTCTTGAATAGCCAAATTCTGCCCGAGCGCGCATCCTCGTGGCATAGATCGTCCTGTTGAAAAATGCTTTGACTGGAACGCAGAATCCTCACCCTTCATCACTTTCGCGCGTGCAGATCTACAATCCGTTCTCAGTTATCTGTAAAGAATTGCAAAAACATTAACATCTTACCTCCATGATCCCCCATGCGTCTCCACACTCTCAAATTCTCAATCCCGATGCATGCACATCTATCCACACCCATCCACCACTTCCAACGTTCGTTCGCCGTCCATGGTCTCCTTCTCCCCTGGCCAAAAGCCCATGACCTCCACCGCACGCTGCTCCAAGCGCTGGGCCTCCTCCGGCGCCAACAGAACCGCCCCACGGAGCCGGAATGGCTCCGGCGCCCTCCTCGGAGCCGTGACGCCGTGCACCGGCGCCGTCTTGCGAAAGCAGGCGACGAAGAAGCCTGGAGGGTACGGACCGTGCGGCGGGGCGGACCAGTGCGAGTCTGTCGGCGAAGGTGCGAGGCGAAGGAAGAAATGACGAATGACAGAGAGGACAAGAGGTGATGAGAGAACAGCCTGGACTGTTTAGGAGGGTGCTATTCGTTTTTGGGCACTGGTGGAACGTGAAGGAGGGATGTTGGAGGGAAGCTGCTCACAGGTGTGGTGAGGAATGCACTTTCGAAAGACCATAGACACTGAACAATTGGCCAACCTGTGGCCCATCGTCGTCACTGTATTGCTACCCGTATAGGGTTCAATGATGAACTCATTGGAACAAACGTCCGAGGTGCCTTCAGCATCCAACTCTTGAGGCCACAAGCGTCCTGGTCTTCAGCTACGGCTGCAATCATCAGGTCGTGCAAGGGAGAGAGTCTGATCATGTTGTATAATTTTGTAAGAATTCACCCATGTCATGCTGGAGCAAAACACTGGACCCATTGAGACATTCGGAAAATGCATCTCGGAGTGGATGGATTAATTAACATAACACCAGACCCTCATGGTGTGTTGGGTGTGGCATACTACAATTCTCTCAAAATGCCGCAAAACTTCTCATCCTTATCAACACTCGCAAAACCACAAGAAAGCCTAATCAAAAACATGGAAGTGCTCATATCTGCTTAGGCGTCCTGAAGCATCAACGGACGGCATTCCCAGCACCTTCTCGACAGGAACACGTTCACAGCCGCCGAGCCGCACAAGCCGTTCACAAACACCCTCATTCTCCCAACGATTGAGAGTGCAGGTGGAATACCTCAAGACCAGCAAATCACACTTTCTAATTCTGAGTCAAAACCTTACATTTCGCGCCTTTCGTTTCAGATCCAGCATTGACCATGCTGCCGCAGTCCGGGAATCCCATTGGTGCCCTCCTGCTCGCCCTTGATTTCAGGCCAGGACACACTAGGTAGCCCCCGGACTTCAAGACGTTCCATCCACTCAACGCAAGCTCCATCTGCTTTTCCTCCAAGCTCCAGTCCCGCTCGCCGGCGAGCAGCCTCGGATGGAAGAGGTCGGTTGGTCGGTTGTTGCAACGGCCGCCATGGTGAAGAGGTCGGCTGAGGACCACCTAAGCTACTAGGAACAAGTGCCTCGCTAGTAGTAAGAAGTGCCTTACTACTAGTAACAAGAAGCTATTAGAATTAGATTTAAATTAATAGCTTCTTGTTACTAGTAGTAAGGCACTTGTTACTACTAGCGAGGCACTTGTTACTACCGCCTTTATAGCCTTTATAGTCATGTCAATAGTCCCCCATACTATACTCGTACTAGCAGCTAGCAAGCGAATTTGGTCCACTTCTTTCAGGTCGACAGGATGTCTGCGACAGTAAAGTTGTATACAAATCTCGACTTTGGGGCCCTGCCGAAGAAGCTTGAAGGGTGAATAATAATAAGAGCTTCAGCAGAAGAGAATTGAGGTGTGAGAGGCCTTGCACTTGCACACACATGTGAGTTTGAAGGCTTGACACAGGCGGAAAACACATGTTTCAGGACCTCTCAAGATTCTCGTTTCGGATGCTTAACCCATGCGCTCGGAGGGGCATCACCAACCCACCCAGAGGGCCAGTGGATCCAGGACACCAGGACACCTGGCACAAAAGCACATGCCGCTGAGGGACAGGGCAAATATATCCTTCCGGGCATTCCCTTCGCAGCTGCAAGGCGCATCTACCAAGACACCGTCAAAGGTGTTGGGCAGCAAATCGCCATATGCTCTGCCATCCATGGTGGTCACAACGAAATTCCTAGGCCGTGTAAATGCTATGGAAACCAAGAACCACAGCTGTCCATCCTCACATGCTCGTTACCTCAAGTCCAATTTCCTTTCAATATCGTCTGAGACCCCTTAAATGAGGTCAACCCTCATCATTTTGCCCTGCAGGAAACTCGGAAGCATCTGTGAATACCTCCCAAACCACCCAAAAACGAGTCTGCTTTACACCATGTGCGAGCCGCGTCAAGCCAACTCTCAGCAGATTCGCTCTCAGCTTTCCTGCGCGGAAGGGATCCAACTCGTTGGCCACTAAGGTCCCGTGCGTGCCTCTCGCGAGGAACTGGGCCAGCTGGGTGCTTTTGCTTCCAGGTGCAGCGCACAAGTCTAAGACCAACGAATCAGCTGGCAACACGGCCTGTAGAACCTGAAAGATGGCAAGGAAAGGACCATGGGTCTCAGACCCTGGAACACTGGTGACCGAACCTGGAACAGGTTTTCACACTGGTCACTGGATCATCTGTGCACACTGGTCACCCATCATCACACGTCACCCAAGAATCTGGATCAAACAAAAAGTATCAAAAAGTCACATGGGTTGGGGATGGGGTTTGGTGAGCATGAGGTGTGGAGATGGGGTGATATGTTCTGCACCCAAACAAACTCTAACAAATACTGAATAGTGTAAAGGGACCCAACCAAACATTATTCATTCATCTTGTGGTCGAACGCCCCAAACTAAGTCGATATGAAGAGGATGACACCGCGTGTACAAACGATACCGGAAACCTCAGACGATCCGTTCTCCGGTTGACCACTTTCTTGATCTTTTGATTGTGCTTTGGACCGGCAACTCTCCCACCAGCTCCCCTTCACTTTCTCACTAATTTGGGGACAGGTGGCGGCAGCGGGCAACATGGAGGAGAGCTCCTGGAAGTAGACCTCTCCCGTCAAGTGCGGCAGCGTCACGCCAAGCGTCGCGGTGTCCGTCGAATGGTCGAAGGTGGCGTGGAAAGCATCCTTGCAAGCCATGGAAGCTAACGCCCCTGGCGTTTCACTCCCCGCCCCGCTGGGATCGGGTCAACGCCACGGGGATCACCGTCCAAATCTTAAGTCATTGGTGGGGGACAACTGCAAGTACCGATGCGTACCGAGCTACCGACCAGGGGGAGGATGGACTTTAATCAGAATGTTTCGCCACCGAGGTTGGGTGGTGCAGGAGAATGGTTATGATCGGCATGGGTGTGCTCGTTTGGAAAAATAATGTCTTAACATGTCTTAACTGCATGGCTTGATCGATGGAGCTGTTCAACGTGTTTGAACACATCGTTTCAAACCGTCCGCTCCCAAAACACCGCTCCGGGGCCAGGGATCTGCCAGATCTGAAAAGAATTCGAGCATGGATCGCTTTCAGATCCTTACGCTCAAACCATGGACTGCCACCCAACCAGAACCTGATACCTGGACCATCCAATTGGTGTCGAATGGAAACCCATTAAGTAGTGTAGCATAGTCCAGCCAGGACACCCAAATGAATGGTCCTGTGAGTCCTATTTGGAGAAGTCGTGCTTGGTCTGTGGGCCCCTGGGCCTTGAAAGAAAGACCTGAAAATGGAATTAAATGGATGCATGTTGAAATATGAAGACTTCCCAGGCAAAAGAAAGAATTTGGAAGAAGAACAAATAGACTAATCTACCATCTAAAACCCAGGGGGGGCCCCCCATTAAAAACATATACCTGTATTGGCGTCCAAGCGTCTGCATGGAACGGAGCGGCAACGACATGCCATCCTTGGGCCCTCAGCTGTCGCAGCACATCAGGCTTCGCCTGGAACAGGGGCTTTGTGGTCCGTGCGCTTCAAAAATGTATTCGATGTTGCATTAACTTGTGTGACGAGTCTTTACGTCAGGAACAGATCAGGTAGGCGTAGAACACATCAGGTAGCCACCATCGCTCTGGAAATTCATCACCCGCGGAGAGTGCTTCAGTTCGACCATGGAGGAGACACCAACCTATAATAACTCCTATAATACCCAGGTCGTCAATCCAAGAATCTTCTTGGATTCGTCCGCAACTCCATTGTTCGTCGTTCAAAAGAATCGTCACCCAATCTCGTCAATCCCATCCATGTTCGCCGCGGAAGACAGGACCTCGCACCTTTGCGCGATTGGCCCTGAAGACACAGCTGCTGCCCCTCGCGCTGCTGCGCATCACCCGTCGTAGCCACAGGCAGGCAGAGGTCGAGGCGAGTGTCACGAGGTGCCGAAGGAAGGCTGCAGAGGCCAAAGGACCCCGGCGCAAGCGGCGTCCTGAGAGGCGGGATCCACTAGCAGCCACTAGGAGTAGAGGTGGCGCTACTATCCTCATATCAGCCCCACGAATAACACTATCCTTTTTGGATCTTTGAAGGATGTTAGTTGGGAAAATGGTTTCAAACACATCATGAATCTTGCAAGTTTCAAACATCCTTCAGAATAGTTTGCTTCACCGCATGATGAACTTTCCCTTCACCCTTGACACCCTTGAACTGTCCACATCTCAAGCCCTCCCACCATTTTCGCCCCAGCTTCAGGCGGACATGCTCGTAGCATGTGCCATAGAACGCTCCACTAAAAAACACGTGTATTACCCAAGCTGGAGGTGCCTTCGAACGCTCCTCCAGCTGCAGCCTCCCGCCCTCTTCATCCCTCCTCTTCCCTTCCGTCCTTTCCGCGTCGCATCCACCAGCTCCACCGCCCTCCGCCACGCGCCGTCGACGGAGCTGGCGACGAAGGCGTCGAAGGCGACGGCGCGGGGGCGGCGCAGCGGGAGGGCGCTGAGGAGGCTCGAGCGCACGGAGCTGGTCAAACGAATCCTACCCCAGGGGGAAGGCAACATTTACTTGATGGTGCGTGGGTTGGTTGGGAGGGCATGTGTGAAGGGGAGGCATGAAGATGCATGAAGCATATCATGAATCATCTGGTGGATGGTATGCAAATATTTGGAATGCATGGCATTCAGTGCATGGGTGATTAAGGTCAAACAAAAACAATCTCGTGCTTCATGATTTAAAGGAGTTTATTTGAAAGAATCCTTGTGGGAAGACGGCGTGACGTGCCACATGAAGAGTCTAGTGAGTAGGTTCGAGGATCTTTGGAAACCCACCGTCCGGTCTCATCAGTAGCCCAAACCTGTCCAACACTAACACCTTGAGGAACCGTATGGTTGCCATGGTGACCAAATATTTGTCTCACACCAATTGAGGAACCAACACCAATCTGCCCAACTTGTCATGTGTGCATTAAAAAGAACAATGCTTACACCATGGAGACAAAGTTTGCATCAAAGTTGGCTTGCGCTTAACGCATCATTTTTGAAGGGCTTTAACATTCCGTCTGCTTCAGCAAAATCTCTCATGTCAGAAGTCATCCGATTCTTGCACTGGAGGATAGTTTTACCCATCTCTGTAGCGTGCAAGCCCAATTCTCGTCAATTCCAAGCGCCAGACCAGGTCTTCGTCCGTTCCCTCATGTTTCATTTGCCGCACCAAGCCCTGACCCCACCGGCGAAGGCCTTTCCGACACCCCGTCCTTCTGCTGACCATCTCTTCGATCACCCATGACATCGATGCCTTCGGCGTTCCGGGCCCTTCGCCTAAGAGGGCGCTCGCCGTGAGCGACAGGCTGATGATGTCCACGGCCTGGTTGAAAAAGCGATACGGGGTTCCCCGATGGGCGAAAAAAAGGCAGGCGAAGATTTAAGATCTATGCATGATTACTGCAAGAGTTACAAAAGTCCTTAGAAACATGTACACCCTGAGTCTGAGTTGGCTCAGTTAGCTGTTAGCTCCTTACATTTCTCCGAGGCGCCAGTCTTTCACTGATGGACGTAGCCAGCAAACTCAGGGTCTCTTGCCACTTGCCTTCCACTGCGCAGGCACTCATGGCTGTATTCATGCTCACAAGGCTTGCTCGGACCTCATCCCCAAGAGATTGGCATGTCCAAAAGAATGCCATTGCTACCGTGTAGCCGAACACACGTCAGGTGAAGTCAACATCTGGTACTACTTTAACTGAAAAAGAGTAACTCACTGCTGACGTTCTAGGAACAAGAAGCTACCAGGGGCTCCTGGCCTTACTACTAGGAGCAAAGACGCTAGAAACGGGGCTCCTGGCATCGTTACTAGGAGCATTGTTACTACGAACGGAACAAGAAGCTACAGGAGATTTCCTTCCAAGCCACAGTCGAAGCCTGCATGTTGCGAAGCAGTGCAAGCGCACGTGGCCATTCTCCACGACCTGGAATCGTCGTGCGTTTGGGCGAGATGGTGATGGAGATGCGCACGTGGTCTCCAAAATGGGGGTATCCTACATCCAACATCATCCAACCATGCTTCTGAGTCATTCGTTCATGCTACCCTCTGACTAATGGATGGCTAGATGGCCTGACGCCTGGGAAGACTATCTTCCACAAACAGGGTGCTTCCAGCACTATCCATGTTGGTGAGTCGATGTGCCTCACATTAGTCTTCACAGGGTCTCCCGACATTTGAGTCATCTCATTCAATGAAGTGCCATTCACGATGTCCTCATCCTGCAGCTGTGCATGAGGGGCTATATTATGTAGTATTAAATATCGGGAAGCAAATGCCAGGCTGCAATGGTCCTGAAGATTCACCGTGTTCACCGTTTCCCAGGGTATTTCCAAAACACCGGTTCACAGTTGTTTCCCAGGGTATTTGCCAGATTGACTTAGTAAATATGGCCAGTGCTTCAGGAACTTGGCAACATATGTGGGGAAGTTCTGTCTGCCAGCACGGTGTTGTCGAGGGGCGTGCGCATGCTTGCATGACTGCATTGAAACTCACAACATCTCGCCGCAGGTGTATTTGCGTCATCTCTTCCAAGAGCTGCAAGGATGTGGGCCAATTACAAGCAGACATCAGGCAATTGTAGCTAGTCCTCACAATCAAAGCGTGTCCTATGGCACTTCCCACGGAAAAAAGGTGGAGTGCCGCTCTCGAATGCCAGTGTTTTGCTTTCGGGAGAGCTCCACTCCAAACAAACCCATGGCTTGAGGAGAGGACTCCATATTCTACAGAGTTCTGCAGAATAGACTACTACACTCAGAGTTTGGGAATGGTCTGATCGCATATATATATATACAAATACATTAAGTGTCCAACACTTCCGCATAGTAGGCCGTCCTGTCTGGCTGCAGCCTTCGCAGTGGCATCTCCTCGAAGCATAGAATGGCCCTGCCTTGGAGGCATGGTTTGTCCGGTGGGTGCTGACTGACTTTGCCAAAGTTCCGAAAGGGGGAACAAACATGGTGTTTTTTCAAGTCCTTCAAGTCTAGAGCTTAGTATTAAGTGTCCAAGTGCAAAGCGTGCAAAAGACATGTTCATTGAAATGTGATCTCAAAAACGGAGCCTGTAGGCACTTATTGGTGAATTCACACATTCACCCTTTCACACGGTCCCTGTATAATCCGTATACATGTTTTGAGCAGTTGCTCCCCGAGTTGCTCCATTGCTGGGCCTTCTCAAAACAGCTTAGCACTGCATTCATGCAAATGGTGTTGATTTCGCATTCCCGGCTCTCAGCTGCTTTGATCATCTCTTCCTCAGCATCTTCCACGGTGGTCCGGAAAGGATAGTAAGTTTGTCGATAAGCAAAAAAACTTAAGAGTAGAAAAGCAAGTCAGCAGCGCACAAGAGTGAAAACATCTGTCAAGCTACTAGGAGCAATGTGCCCAGCGTCCATTGACCACCTTCGAGATTTGAAAGCTGTCCAAAAACGCACTGGAGAACAGTAGTAGGCTGATTCCATCAACAGTATGCAAAACGCTAGTTCAAAGCCCATTGTGCCTCTGAAAATGCTGACGAAAGAACCTCCTTCATTCGAGAGTATACAATTTGAACAATTGAGCTGTTGGAATCGCCAGAATGTGCGCTGGGCTGCATGCTAGCCAATCCAGGGTTGACACTTGCAACGAGTCAGATCTATCTGATTGGAAAGGCAATCCACCTTTCGCACAAGCGCTGGCAGTAGAGCTATAAGTGAACGCATCGATCTGAATCTGCTCGGCCCTTTGCAATTTCAACCTCGGCCACTCTGTGTCAACCGCGATCCTGGTGGTGACCTGACATATATATATATTAATGTTATATATATATATATATTAAGATATATGTATATATTAATATTATATATTGTCTTAGGAATCCTTGGAACCCCGGCCTACGTCGTCTGAGTCTGGTTTCCACATGCTGTTACGGTTCACGCGCTGTGTATCGATTTGTGTTCTGTTGTGATCCTCTTGGAATCCTTTGGATGTGGCCGCTTCATGAAAAGACCAAGCTCTGCTTCATGTGCTCGTCCAGTGACACGTCCAAAGCTCGTTGCCACTGGCCGGCTTGATCACAAGCTCGGATCATAGCATTGCATGTGATCGTGTTCAGCTGCATGTTGCCATCAATCATCCGTTCCTGTAGCCGATGGGAGGCCCATGGGAGGCCCATGGGAGGCCTTCATTCTTGGACCCGAGTCTTGCAAGTAGCATCGCCAGAAATGCCAGGAGTGGGAGGTCTTGAGTATTCTTCAATTGTTCCTTGTGTGTGTTTCCTTCAGAAATCATGCGTCGAACCTTGGGAGTTAGTTTAGATGAAGCGGTGGCCATCGAGGCACAAGTCGGCGAACTCTTGATAAACGACTGTGCATGGACCGTCCATCATTTGGGGCACCACTTGAGATATCCAGGTACTTGTCTTCATTGGTGATTTTCCTGGATTGCCACATGGACTGTCCATCAGCTGTCACTCACTTTATCTTCAAAGAACGCAATTCCTTTTGGGTATTAGTCAGGCAGCACACATACAAATGTGGGGTATATCCTAGAAGTCTTCTTGGTTTGGTTGTTTCCACACACCTATCTTTCGCAGACCTTGGTGAAAATATCACCCGTCCCGATCTAGGGACCGTAGGAGGGACCACCAGCAAAATAATTTTTTTATTATTTTGAGGTGGGGGGACGTAGTCGAAAAAAACTATTCCTAGACGTGTCAGACGGTAGCTTGGAATTTTTTGGCTCCAGAACAGTTTTGGTTACGAGCGTGTCCATGTGCTCCAATTAATTTGTGGATCAATCCCGGGGGGGAACTGAGTCGGACAACCGAGCTGTTGGAAATTCTCACGGAAAGCTTTTTCCGACAGACGGAATCTAACACACACCCCGCGACATCAGTCGCGCGATGTCCAGGCTTCCGAAGAAGAGACAACCAATGGAACACAATCAGGCTTCTGACATCATGGAGCTTGAGTTGCTGAGGAAGAAATATCAAGAAAGATTGAGACAAGCCCAAAAAAGATAACCGATGCTGTAGTGGTTTAGTTTTGTTTTTGCTTGCACATGTATAGAAAGAGGCAGAAGCCACAGGAAGGCGTCGGTACTTGCCACACAATTGGAATATATTGGAGAATTATTTAAAAGGTACCTGACCCCTCCCCCGAGATGACAACGTAACATAA